TTCTCCAGGCTGAACAGCCCCAACTTTCTCAGCCTATCTACATACAGGAGGTGCTCCAGTCTCTGATCATCCTCGTGGCCTCCTCTGGACTTGCTCCAGCAGTTCCATGTCCGTTTTATGTTGAGGACACCAGAACTGCACACAATGCTCCAGGTGAGTATCTCCAAATCTGCCTGAGCAGGATTTTCTGGAGGCTGCTTAAAAGCCAGCAGGAAAAATTAAAACCCACCATTCTAATTTGGGGTCCTCAAGCACCAGCTCAGAGAGGAGAAGGCAAGGATCAGCCTTTCCTACAAAGGGTTGCTGGAAGAGAGGCCGCTGCTCAGGGTGCCCACGTCCCTTCTGCCCAGCACACTGCTTAACCAGCAGAGGTGTTTACCTTCTGTCCCTGCCCTCCGTGGCACTGCGGCTGCAGACTCAGAGCACTGGTATGTGCCCTCCTGCCAGGCACCAGCCTGGAGCACGCAGGAGCAATGACCCCGACACCTTTAGTCCCGAACTCAGGAGCACCCTGACAGGGCTGGCAGCTTCACTGTAGCTTTCCACACCGTTTACTGGCCTGGGCTGTGTTAACCACCAAACCCAAGGTAACCAGATCCTTGTTATATCCTTGCATATAGGAGCCCAAATGCAGGAGGAGATGTTCATTTCCCCTCCTGGCTGGTCTTCCCTTGCACCTCTTGGCTTTGCAATGAAAGACTATTCAGGCAGCTGGGACCTCCTCAGGTGTGCCCAAGCTCTCCAGGGCAGGTTTTAGCCCTGTTACTTCCTGCTCTTTCATGGCAAATCATGCGGCTCCCTGCACCCACATATGCTCAATAACTATTTCTCTCCACTTGCCTAAGCAACCTCTTATTTCTCCTCCCCTTTGAAGCTTGACCCTGTATAAAACACACTCATGAAAGTGGGAAGCAGCTCTGTCCCCAGATACTGCCACCTCTCAGGAGCATCCTTTGATCCCCAAAACCACCCTTCAAAAAGAAAGATGCCTTTTTCCCAACTGGTTTCTAAGCTCTCCAGAGGGATGTAACAAAGCATTTTACTGTGAGCTTCTAAGGAGATAGATACCTATATTTAAACTAAGAAAAACACCACCAATACAGTCACGCTGTCAAAACCCCTTCCTATGGAAAACACACAAGGATGACTTCAGGAGCTCCACATACTGACTTGGCATCGTGCTGATTCAAGCTCCATGAAGCCATGGGATCTGACTTAGCCCTGAGCTCAATCATTTTGTTCTCCTCACATTAAGAACATGTAAATATCACTCGTTACTTTGTTCATTTAAAATTTCATAGGAGTCTTGGCACGGGCACCACGAGCAGGGAAGCCACATTCCCCTTGAGTTCACACAGCCTCCTCTGCCCCGTACAACACTGTGGCACTTGGATTTCCTCCAATGCCCAGGAAACAGAGTTAAAAATAAAGTGTTTTATTTATTCTCTCCTTGCCCCCATTAATTCCTCCGTTTCCATTCGCACTGAATACTACACAACGTTTTTGTCCATAAGATGCTTTCAGGCTCAAAATTAAACCTAGAAATATCTTACTGATTTGGGGAGACAAAACAAAATGTTAATCACATCACCCCCTATGTCAGCATTCATAAATTAAAAGGTATCTTCACCATTTAGAGCAATTGGCTATGACAAAAACCATGGCTTTTAGATGGTGTTTTCCTTCGAAGAAAACAAAGAGCAGACAGGCACTGACGCCTGTTCCTCCCCTCTCCCTGAAACATGGCATGAGTCTCGAATAAGAGGAAGCCTAAAAGAACATCATGTGAAAAAACCCTGTTTCTCAATGGATCATGCTGGTCCTAGAACAGGACATTACTATGAATATGCATGAATGGCATGAGTCAAACTACACCCAGGAGTAAGCACCAGCTTTCGCTCTCCATCTTCTGAAACCTCCCAGTCAGGCTGCCAAGACAGCAACTGAATGACAAGATTTTTGTTTGAAGGGGGGGGGAGATTAATGTTGGTTTGGATTAATTGGAGGAACCTTAAATTAGCTTCTTTCGATGTGCTGCTTCTCTGTTTGGCCAACTCAGAGAAGCAGGGACAAACCGAGACTAGAAAGAGACTATTTCAATTCAAAACCCCTCAGCAGCACTGTCAGTTGTAAGTTTTGAGAATTTCTCTTATAAAACCCATCAGGACAAGGTCTTTCCAAACTGGTTGCTGTCAACTCAAATGAGAAGTTAGATAAAACTCCCACGTGCCAGATGGCAAATCACAATAAATGCTCGGGCTGTTAGATGCACAACAGGCGACAAACGCATTGAAATACACCATCAGAAGCAAACCTAGAATAGAAAGGGTATTTTAATAACAAGTTATCACCTGGGGGGAAAGATCCTTGTTAAGCTCCTCAGAATCAAAAGTCGTGCACTGAGAGCTTCTTACTTTCCTCACCACCCCATGTAAGCATAAGGAACAGCTAATAACTTACGTAGAGTTAGGTTAGGTATAGGGCTACCAGCAACGAGAGCCTCGGAGTTCACTCTTTTGACATACTTATAACCCTTTCTGCCAAGTTACTTAAAAATATATTGTTAAAGGATACCAGGGAATTATTTACTCAAACCACTACTGTTTCCTCAACGCAGATGCAAGAAAAAGTTGTATTAAGAAGATAAACAGCTGCTACTGTATGCTGTTTAAATGGTAACAAAAGCATCTAAGGGCCATAAAGGGAATAGTAAGGGAATTAAAAAGCATTTTTATGCATGAAGATGGCTAACATCCGTACATTCATTAAAGTGGTATCAACCATGTTTTTAATTAAAAGTTAGTGACAGAAACTTAAATATGATTAATGAAACCTAGCAACCTACCAGCAGCCTGCTCTAGCAAAGCAAGAAGCACGAGCTGCATATCCAGCCCTTGCTCCTTTCGCTTTCCCTCTCGGAGATGCTGCCACAATCAGAACACATTGCCAGGACCACAGAGCAGCGTTCCTGTGAGAAACAGCAAGCCAGGACAAGTCTGCAGCTGTGCTTTCATGCTTGGCCATGCTTTATTCCGTATATCCCGAGGAGGCATTTCAATTACCGAGCAGCAGCACAGGGTCACAACAACGAGGTGGTTACCTGTCAGAATAACCAGGCATACAGCGATCTATTGACCATTGCAGGCATGAGGTCTGCCAAAGGCCGGGAGAAAGGCTGCCCTGCAAACAGCCATCTCCTATTCACCAGTGGAAAATATCCCTCAGAAGGCAGTGCTGAACTCTGTAACGCAGTCACTCTTCTTGTGTTACTCAGGAGCACAGCGCAGTCACGACAAAAATAAACTACGTGATAAAAATACAGCGCGAGGAGAAAGATGTGGGCAGGGAGAGGGAATTAGTATGGAATAGGAGGATAAGGAATCCTACAGGCCATAGGCATTGCGACGTGCAATCAAGCCATCTCCTGTTTAAATCCTGATGTCTGCAAAGACTAATCTAGTGCCATTGTCCTGCTGAACCGGTGTCATGTACAGAGCTGAGCACATGCAGATTATGTCTTCAAAAATGGGGTTTGGCATCATATTACCCACTCAGCTGCTTCCAAACACACAGAGCCCATAGGAGATGGAAGCTTTCACTTCAGAGCAGGTACTCACAGAAGAAGAAACTTCTTTTTGCTTCAATACACAATTTAAATAAACTTTGCCTCAATCGTAGCCTTTTAACATGAAATGTGACAGGTTTGAATGGTGTGGATGAGAGAGGGCTCTGCTAATGATGCTCCGGCTGCACATCGAGTGCACTCCTCTGGGCTCCTTCAGTGGAGCGAAAGGGGCTGGGGAGCAGGTGAAGGAAGGGATTTAACCCTCCCGCAGATGGAGAAGCTGAAGTTGCTCATGCTGATGCCTGCTGTCAGGGGGCAGCAGCATTCCACAGAATGGAGCCCAGGGTCATTTGGGAACACCAGACAGGGCCCCGACTGTCAAGTGATAGGGAAACCAGAAGGGATGGCCAGGCCCAGAGGAGAGGATCCCCTCTTACAGCCCATTATCCAGCTAAAGAATGGGCAACCTGCTCTTTCTAAAGCAAAAATTCCTGCTCCTGCCCTCGCAAGGGAATTATGGCTGACTTCCAGTGATGCTCACTGACCACAGGGGAGCCTCAAGCCCCAAAAGCCCACACGGTTCTTCCTTAGCCATCATCAGCCAAATTCCTCCTTCCATGAGGCCAGGGCAGGTCTCACCTCTCTTCCCCTACCAGCCCTGGGCAGTGCCTTCCTGCCCTCCTCCCAGCACAGGCCTCATCCCAGGGCCCCCACCACAGCGCAGGCCTCATCCCGGTGCCTCTGCCATAGAGGAACACCTTGGAATTCAACCCTGGGAGATGCGGTAAGGGAGGAAGGAGGACGAGGAGGGTCGCGGCCAGGATGAAGGCTCTCCCTCGGGCTGGGCTCGCTCTGCCCTCACACGTACGGCGCCTGAAGGCAGCGGCACCGCTCCCTGACATCCAGCACGGCTCCGTGCACCTCCAGGCACCACAGACCGAGAATCGCTCCCTCCGCCGTGCCAAGGAGCCCGGTGTGGAGGGGCTCCATCAACCCCGGCACTCAAACCGTCACCGAGGGTAGAGGGAAAAGGTGTTTGCTGCCTCCAGCGAGGGGGGGCACCGCAGCCAAACCCCATCACTTCACCGCAGGGTACGTTAGAGATAACGAACCTCTCGTTATAACCCGTACAGCCGCGCACCCGCCGCTATGGCTGCGGCGTCCGCAGACCCGTCCCTCCCTGTCATTCACTCCTCCATTCGGGAAACTTTTACCAGCACCGCATCCCGCTGACCGCGGGCGGGACGACCCAGCCCGCCCGCCGCGGCCCGCAGGGGCCGTTCCTCCGCCGCCCGCCGAGGCCCCGCCGAGCCTCCCCGCGGGCCCGGCCTTACCCCCCCCCGTCCCTCCCCTCACCTCACGCTCCCCTCAGGCCCGCGGCGGGCCCTGCCCGGGGTGCCCGCCCCGCCGCCCCCCGCGTCCCCCTGCCACGCACCGGCTGCTCCCGGCGCAGCGGCCGCGGCTCCCGCTGGTGCTGCTGATGCCGCGGCGGCTCGGCGGCTGCCGCTGCCTACGGGTGGCTGCCTGCCGACATGCCCGCGCTCCGCTGGCATAATCCCCGGCGAGGGTGGGCCGGGCGCAGGCAGCTCCTCACCCGCCGGCTCTGCCGCGGCGCGGGGACGGCGGAGGCGGGGGGAGGTGAGGCGGGCGGGCCGCCGCAGCTGCGGGAAGTGGGGGGGGCGGAGGAGCGGGGAAGGCGAAGAACCCCGGCACCGGCTCTGCCCCGCGCCGCCCGGGCAGCTTTATCCGCCCGCCCGAGCCGTGCCCACCGCCGCCGAGCCGCCACTTCCTTCCCCGCGCCGCGCCGGGCCGGCGCTCCCGCACGGCGGGCGGGACCGGAGCGCCCCCTGCCGGCTGCGGCTGGGACCGGCACCGGGGCCGCGGGGAGCCCGGCCGGAGCCGTGCCCGCAGGAGGGGTATTATCGGCTACCGAGTCACAGCGGCCCCAACGGGCAAAGCCCCGGGCCAGGCCTGCCCCGGCACCTTTTGCAGCCCGAGCGCACTCTGCAACGAGTGGAAAACAACCACTAAGGGGTACTAGAGGGGAAAAAAAGCAGTGAAATTTGCCAGTTTTCAGCTTTTTCTTTCTTTAAGGGTACATCACCTCAGTGCTCCTCCTCCACTCCGGCTCCTGGATAGAGCAGGGTAATTCCAAACTCCCCAGCTGATGGCTCAGTCTCCTGCACCTGAAGCATCAGCGGCAGAGGCTCCATTTATAACTTGCATTTTAGAGATGCGGACCTTTTCCAAAGGTTAAATCTCTCAGTGAGGGAGCTGTAATGTTTATCATTACCAGAGGAAACAACACATGTCTCATCAGAGCAGGCAGGCAGACCAAAGCCTGAGGCTCCAGGCAAAACCCAATGGATTAGGCAAGGTAACAAACACCTACAGAGCTGGGAGGTGGCAGGTGTAAGAAATCTAGAGGAAGGCGATTGAAGTCCTGCTCAGGACAAGCACAAGATTCTGGGTCTCTAAAAGTCCTTATTTGTCCCCAGTTTGTTGGTGTTAAGGTGAAGAATCGTTAAAGGGATTAAAAAGCTGCCCAGCAAAGCGCAGTCACGTTCCCAAGGCAAACACCCGCTTCCGCGCTCCCTTCTGATGCGTGCGGTTGGATGTTGGGCAGCGCTGAGCATTCCGGCCTCCCACTGATCGCAGCTGGAACTGCAGCTCTGCCTCAGCAACCAGGCCAAAGGCACCACGCCGACAGGTCAACCCACCACCAGCCCTGGCTCCGGCTGGCCTAGAAGTGCATGAAGAGCAACACTTCGGCTTTTTTCCCCTCTTCCTTCAGTGTTAGAATAGAACAGAAATAGCCTGAAGAGCTCCAACAGATGGAGGAGGGCTTTTGATTAAAAAATAAATTCTGACTCACAATTTGTAATAATAAAAAGAGGACATGACTACAAACAGCATGGGAATGAGGAAGGGGAGGTAACAGCAGCAGCAGCTGAACTGAGTTACCTGCTTCTTTCTAACATCTGTCAGGAAAACTGTGCTTGCTTGTGCCGTTGGTGTTGTTTTCCTCCATCAGCACAACAGTGGACTCCTGGAATTGTCCTGTGATGGATTCCTTGGAAAAATCCTGCTAGGTAATTGATACATCTGAAGAACACTTCAATCTGAACCTGTTAATAACTTTAAATGGTGGGGAAACTTCTTCAGCTGAACAGTAGAGCTGCAGAGGGAAGTCAAGATTTGGTTTTCCTCCTTCAACTCCTTCTATGTAAAAATTACAAGTAATATGGAATACCATCAAAATTGTACAGCTACTGGTGCAGCTGGAAATATATTTAACTCCAAGTATTCAGGTCCAATTTGTACATTTTAAAGGGTAAAGACAGCAACCAATATCCTTGACTTCCCCTCAACTCTATGTATTAAAGGAACTGCAGGGCGGAAGTGGCTGCAACAAAATATCATTTTTGGGGTAAGCCAGTTCATCAAATACCTTAAATGACAGGACTCTAATTTTAGAATCAGATCTTCCCAAGCTTCCTTTATGACAGCTATTCTGGCCTTATAATCACATCACTGGTGGCTAAACATCTTGTACAAGGACAGAAGTTGAAACACACAATGTGATTAAAACCTACATTATGGCTGATGTAATATTCCAGAACCTATTAATGGTTTGGGGCAGGAGGAAAGAATCTAATTAAACCTTTATTTGATATTAAAATACAAACTATCAATGTTGGACAGTCAATCAGCAGTAGGCCAACTAGCAAATATGTATTGTTTTCACCCAGAAAAATGCATGTGTGTTCACAAATACAGCTTGGATTTGATTCAGGAATGGAGGTGACCAGAACACTGGCATGGCACAAAACCCAGCCTGTTTCATTAAAACAGTAACTTGGGATGAATAGTTGCAGTCCTGGAGAGGTGGCTGGAGTCGAGATGGGAAGGCTCCCATGGATCCCGGTACCTGCAGCAGCAAAACACTACTCACTGCAACTGTTGGGAGACATCAAGTCATTTAGATCCATATTTTCCTAATGCAGCCAGACCAGCAGAACACACACTTCATTCTGCAGCCAACCAACCATAGCGAAAGTATTGCTCACAGTTTTGTCACAATGAAAGGTACCCGTGTTATAGGGTTGAAATTAAAAGGATTTACAACATAACACAGTTCTCTTACACAGGCAATTCAGGTTGCTTTTTTGTATTAAAGATCAAAATTTCCTATTGGCTAATATTTACATCATACCATAAATACTTATAAAATGGGGAGGAAAACAAAGTGCAAACCAGTAACACTCATTTTCTGAAAACAAGCTGCCTTTTAGTTTCATATTCTTCTTATAAATTCAGTATCACTATTTAAAAATAATTAATATTTCTAAAAATATTACAATACAGGATAAACATTGATTTTCCCAAGTGTAACAAAAATATGTTCAAAATATAGGTGGCTCCAAGTACAAAATATTGCTGTTGGTAAAGGGTAACATGGTTGTAAAACTACTACTGAGGGTTTAGAAAAATACAAAACCATTTGCATTTACTGAGTGCATAATTACATATTAGTGCAAGGGGGGGAAAAAAAGCATATTTGCATTCAAAGAGAGAATTGTCAGAGGTTTGCAGAGGTATGTAAAACATGGAATCGTTTCAGAGTCATGCGTATTGACCCCAAATCTCTATTAATCCTTTCCAAGCGATCTTCCAGAGCTTCCTAAAGGAAACAGTTAAAGAAAGGGGGGGAAAAAGGGATTTAATAACATAAACCAAAATGCAATGATCATTCAAAAATGAAGAAACTACTGTTCCTATATTCCACTGGTATCCTTTACTAGCATTCTGTTAGCACCCACAAACTAGAGGCAGACCTACAAACCCTGTATTATTTTTATGTATGTGTGTGTATTTGTGGGTCTTTGGCTTCTTTAAAACTGTTTTAGGTATTTTGGGTTGTTTTTAAACTTTTATGTGACTTCTAGACAAACTTGACAAGAATTAGGCCAGGCTGATAATGAGGGAGACACATTTAGGAAATGCTGCAGCGAGGGGTAACACTGACTCGCTGGAATGCACTTGGACTTTCAAATTGGTTACAAGCCCTAGGATCCCCATTTAGGAACTGCTGCAGTTGTAGGCTTTGCAGAGACCTCTAGAACACAACTGGGAGATGCTTGTTTTCATCAGAAGAGCCTGGAGAGGTTTCTAACGAATGGCCTCTCCTGTATTTCACCTACACTACTTCTTTTTGCCTTCTTGCTTTGTTCTTTATGCTTTCAAGTAGACAAAACCCCAACCAACCACTAAACTTTACACTTTCCTCTACAGCACAACAGCTGCAGGGATCCGTTCCATAGTTACTGCCTCAATGTATTGCCTTCACGTGCCTCTTAGTGTTATAGCAACAGACTATTCTTGTAGTAATTTGGAAAATGCATCCCATGTACAAACCCCAGAAGATAGCAACAGTCTTATTATGCAGAATATACACTATGTACTATTTATACATGTACATACACACATACTTTTTCCTTAAATGCCATATTCAGGAACACTTCTCAGTGGTATGGAAAAGTTCCCACAGTAATTGAGCTTACTACAGTGGAACTTTCATCTACACTCCATATTCTTAAATTGCGGGAGAGCAATAGAAGAGAGCAGTCAGATGTAGAAGCTTTTTCACCTGATTTAATCTTGCTTGCAAGGTCATTCTTCCACCAGAACAAGGTATTCGACTCAATGCAGCCTCAATCTAGTAACAGAAAATACTTCAGCTGTAAATTGTAGTTTCAAGAGCCAGTATAAGCCTTCCTAACTCATTTTACAAAGAGAGAGGTGAGGTATATAGATTACAGAGACACATTCAGTCTTGTTCTTAAACACAAGCATGCTACCATAATACTGTGCTGTACCACACAGATACAGAAGTTAACATTCATAAGCAGACTCTCCCAAGAGTCATTTTGAAGTGTTCAAGGCCAGGCTGGATGGGGTTTGGAGCAACCTGCTTTAGTGGAAGGTGTCCCTGCCTGTGGCAGTGGGATTGGAATTACATGAGCTTTAAGGTCCCTTCTAACCAAAACCATTCTAGGATCCTATGAAGGGAGCACTTGTACTTGCCAGAATAACCTTCCTTATTTGAAAGGCTAGTTTAAATCATTGGCCATTAAGAAGAAAATCAAATTCACTTCAACCCTTCACTTCAACCCTTCCATTCACCCTGTGCTTATGTTAAAATGACTCTCCTTTAAGGAAGTTAGGAACAGAAGATAGGTTGAGAAAGTTGGGGCTGTTCAGCCTGGAGAAGAGAAGGCTGCGTGGAGACCTCATAGCAGCCTTCCAGTATCTGAAGGGGGCCTATAGGGATGCTGGGGAGGGACTCTTCATTAGCACCTGTAGTGACAGGACAAGGGGTAATGGGTTAAAACTTAAACAGGGGAAGTTTAGATTGGGTATCAGGAAGAAGTTCTTTCCTGTCAGGGTGGTGAGGCACTGGAATGGGTTGCCCAAGAAAGCTGTGAATGCTCCATCCCTGGCGGTGTTCAAGGCCAGGTTGGACAGAGCCTTGGGTGAGATGGTTTAGTGCGAGGTGTCCCTGCCCATGGCAGGGGGGTTGGAACTGGATGATCTTAAGGTCCTTTCCAACCCTGACTATTTTATGATTCTATGGGAAGTAGAGCAGGGACTGATAACGGCCCATTCCCAGGGTAACACTGGAAATTACGCATGAATTCCAGCCATGCATTGCAGGGTGCACAGCTACACCCCTC